AAATTGTTGAAATAACTGCTTTTTTGGCTGCTGGAATGTTCAACGAAGGTTTTTCATTCGTACTTCAAACCGTGCAAGACCTCAACATAATTAGACAGCAGCCAAACGATTCGTTGATACGTACGATCAGCCTTCAGAGTACGAAAGAAGCTCGTACTGTGTTAAAAGAGGAAAAACGGCCCAACTACAAAAGTTTTAGGAACAGGAAGATCTACAATATGGCTCTGGAATCGCAGATTAGCGAAAGATTGCTGTAAATTTTTAAACGTATTTTTCTTGAAACACAAAATTTTGCGTGCCGTGCAACGCAACTTAAAAACTACTTGTTCGATCGTCTTGAAATGTTGCATATTTATTCTTTAATTAATTATATTCTTCATGAACCTATTCCTTTATTAATTTTACATTGCAAAAATTGTTATTAACAAACCTTTGTACAAAAATAATGCACTTTTTCCTTTTAATGTTGTCATTTTTGCAATTTTTCGAATTTAATAACATTTTTAGGTTCATGAAGTACAATTTTGAATAAACTAACGAATTTTATTTGGTATTTTTACATGAGATTATTTTTGCAATCCGTACCTGTACGTTGCACGGCGAATTTTTGAGGCGCTATCTTTGAGCTGCAGTTTCTTCATGATTTTACGGCAATAAAGCTTTAAAAAAATCTATATGGTACATGGTATTGTCAATAAAAAGTACTGAAAGTTTTAACTATATCATTGATTTCGTTTTTTCATAATAAATTCATGAAAAATAGACCGTTTACACGAGGCTCCCCCCTTAACCTATCCTAATCTAACCTACTTATAAATCAAATGTGTTTAATTCTTTGAGTATTAGTGACCAAATATAAAACATAACGTAATGTAACTTACGGCAAGAAATTTAAAATCCAACTTCCGAATCCAACATTTGGATGCAATGATAAAATATTCTTTAGCTGATTTTTGTTGTGTTGCTTGGTTATGCTTATTAAATAATGCACACAGAATTTTACTTGAGAGAAACAAAAATCTTTGTGCGTATGAAATCGCGCATCTATCGGCTGTCATTTCCATTTGTTCTTTGTAAATAATATCATGAATTTTGTAATCTTGAAGGTGAGGTTGGTCCAAGATCGTGGTAACACGTGTAACGAAAGGAGCATACACCCAAATAAGATTGGCAAGAAGGCATGTGTACGATCGAAACTCTTCAACATGAACAGTTCCAATCTTTTCGTTAAATAAAATCTTTATAAGTTGGAAATTAGATCTTGTTTCGTCCAAGGCTCGAACAAGAGTGTGCTCGTCCTCTCGATGTCAGCTCTTTTAAATCTGTTTCCCCCTTTGATTTTAGATCTTTAGTTTACTAAACACTTGAGAACGATAAGGGTGATGATTTGGGAAAGGGCCGTAATTACCGAACGTTTGAAAGGACCGTAATTACCGAAAGGATGTTTAGGATCTGTCGACGCCGGTTTGATAAATAATCAATCGAGATTAGTATGGTGGTAAAATAAGAGTTTATTTTGGAAATGCAAGGGAAAAAGCCCGAAGGTGTAAAGAACCCTTGAAGTTTGATTTGTGTGTGTGAGTGTGTCGCGTGAGATATAGATGATATCGTGTATACGAACGTTCGACGTTCTATAGCGATTTGTTAATCGCGTGTTGTGGTGTTTCGGGAAGCAGCTCCCGTAGGAGACTCCTACGCGGAGAGATCATCCAGTCGCAAGGACATCGCTGGAAAGTTATCCAGTCGCAAGGACACCGTTGGAGACTTCTGCGCGAGGAGACGTCGGTGTATGAAGAGATGGAACTAGGGTTCCGTTGGATCCCCTGCGCAGGGAGACGTTTGTGGTTGCCGGCGGGACCATGGGTTTGTAATCAGTGGACAAGGCAAGGTCCCGGGCGTTATGGTTCGATTGTTGCCGCCGCGAGGTCTCAGGTTTGTAGTCCCGATAAGGCCTCGGGCGTGATGTTTTGTTGGTTGTGGCCGGCAGGACCTTGGTTTGTATTCAGGGATCGGCAAGGCCCTGGGCGCGTTGGTGGTTTTGGTAGAAAACTAATGTAATCGCGGAACAGCATTCGATTTCATGGTAGAAAACTAATCGCGGCAAGACACTACTAAATTCCGACTACGCGGTAAAGAAAAGAAAAACTGTTCGACCGTTTTCGACCGTGGTCCGTTGAAGACTGTTTTATTGAGGCAGGACTCATTCCCAAGTGCTTCAACGTTATCTTTTTCTCAGAACGAAATTTCGGTTAGCCCATATCGGGCACGTTTTACAAACACTGATTATTGAAAGTTTTAGACGGACACTCCGATAGCATGTATTCAACATAAGAGGTGAAAGGGAGAAAATAAGTATAAAGAATACATAAATTATGTAACACCGGAAGAAAGAAATCATTAAAACAATGAAAAAAGAGTTCCATAAAATATTAATGATTGAAAACATAGAGGAAGCAAAAGATGTTTCATTACATGCAATCTGTGATAAAGACAGGAAGACTATGTTTAGAGGATTAGAGCGTGATGTAATATTGTATAATTGTAGTGTATAAATATTTATTGTTCTGATGATACTGAGCTGTTAAAGTTATACTAATAAGACGCAAAATACAACTAGTAATAAGTATAGAAATTAAGTCGAGATAAGTAATGGGCTATTGGGGAGAGTTTTGATAAGTAATTTATATTGTACCAAAGATATTTTGTAGAAGCCCCCCCCCCCCCCCCCCCCCCCCCTTGTAGTAGACTGTAAGCCTGAAGTACAAATAAAGAATAATAAAATAATAATAAATTTTGCAATTGTAATGACAATGTAGTAAGTGTCATTTTTGGCTATTACACCCCATAAGTGGACTACTACGGAGAGTTATGACCACAATACTTTTTTATTATAATTTTTCATATTTCCTTAATAATTAATAATCTATTAAGTAGATTTTATGACATAAATAATAATGAAAGGTTTTGATAAATCTTTTTAGTTGTTGAACCTTTCAACACCACAGAGTTTTTATCGAGGATAAGATTTCGCTGAATTTCGTACAGGCAAACCATCGGAATAAGTGGTTGTTGAGGGATGCAGTGTCGCCACCTATAATACCGACCCAAATGAGGTCCTCTCGACGCGAGGACCAGGACGTCCATGAAATTAATTACGTTACATATCTTTCTTTCTATATAACGTTACACCCTTCTTTACTTATGATATTATTAAAGTATTAATAAGTGCAGAATACAAGCGTGTTAATAATGCTCTTACCCAAACCCTAACAGTGGTCATACCGTCCCAATTGCAGCGCTTTTCTTTTTAAATTGAAATTAAGTAAATCAGACTTGGAAAATAGATTGAATATATGACAGACATAAAGTAAAATGGTTCAACTTTCATTTCCTATACAGTACAGGGTGTTCCGGAACTCGCGTAACCCCGAAATGGGGGGTTGCTGCGGTGATTCTGAACAACTTTTTCCTTGACCAAAATGTTAATTGAAGCTTCGTTGTTAAGTTATTAACAAAAAACACTTGCCAATCAGAGCCAGCGTAGAGCGCGCGCTGAACCACGAGAGCGTTGGCTCTCAACCGCGCTCGGTCGTCGTCGTGAACAAACGCATTGGCACAGCTTGGGTATCTAGGAAAACGTGAGACTAATTCCACATCGTTGTTAATTTAAGACGATGTAACATTTGTCGCATGCTTCTCTCGATACCCACGCTGCGCTGTGCCAATACGTTTGTTCGCGACCACGACCGAGCGCGGTTGAGAGCTAACGCTCTCGTGATTGAGCGGGCGCTCTACACGCGCTCTCATTGGCCAGTGTTTTTCGTTAATAATTCAAAAACGAAGCTTCAACCAACATTTTGGTAAAGAAAAAAAGCAACCCCCTATTTCCGGGTGTTACGAGAGTTATGAGACACCCTGTATAAATATTAAATTTCGGTTTGATTTGGCATTTTCTGATTAAGAGGAAAAATACTAATTTTTATTTTTCAAAGCTTAACATTTTTACAATTTAATGTAATTTTTAAACTAAGAGTAATCGACTTCATTTTTTCCCTGATTATAAAGTTAATATTTTTCAACAAATTTAATACATATAATATTGAAATTAAAATTTCATTTATACTATTAAAAGTCCAAGTGGCCAACTCACTCGTTATAGCCATATCGGCCCCCCTTCCCCTCCTAAATTGACACTTATGATATTCATATTTCTTAATTATATACCAAATTTTATAATATTTAATAATTAATAATTATATTACCTTATTTCTAAATTACTTTTAATATTAATATCGTCAAAATTAAGATTTTGAGAATTCCCGTTTCTCCTGTAACCTCGTTTTCCCCACAGTGGCCTACTTTGCTCAATACTTTACTTGAAGTGGTGGCTAGTCAGTTTTGTTGTAAGGGAATGACTATCTTGATATTAGGGGAGTAGACTTACTGATAAGTAAAGACCATCTAACTTCCGGTAGGGGTGGAATCAAGCCACCCCTTAAATTTATAGTATTAAAAACCAGTAAAAAAATTGTTTGCACAATAAGAAAAGTTTCTTAATGCTTTTCCAGTATAACAATTAGTTTCATTCTGAAACTCAATACGTTCATAAATCAGAAATTTTTATTTTTAAATTTCTTACATTTTGTAATAATTTTCTATTATACTTCAAAATTTTGAATCATTAATATTTCAATTGACTAAGTCTTACTCAATAGAATTAAAAAGATATTGTAATATTTTCATTCTTTGTGAAGAAAGAAATTTCTAAAAGTACATAAAAATCAGCTTAATTTCCTTGAATATCAATTTCCATTTGTATTTATATGTTTTTATAACCATCGGACACACGATGTTCAATGAAATTTTCATTTCCATCACATGATGGATTATTTTAAAAGCATGAATATGAGCTGTGGTGATTGCATGAAGCTTTTCAATGCATTTGATGATATTACAACGAGAACGTTAAGACGAATGTCCACAGGGTGTGGCAATCTTACCTTTGTAAGATTTCCTTCGTGCAGGGTACTCAGTGATGGCCTCTTGGCACGGCGACTCAATCTACAAACAGAAACGTTCTTATAACTCGCAGTATTAGCGAAGGAATAAAGTTAATTAAATTAGGATAAATTCATGAATTAAATAAGAATACCTATTAACCCTCGCATTACCAAGGGGGAGATATAATTTACTCATCATATCAGATTTTGTGTATTTGTTTTACTAATTGATTCAATTAATATTTTGAATAAAATAATATGTATTGAGTTTTGGCATATTTTTTAATGCTGTGTAATTTAAGTTTACAATTTCCGAAAATGTTTTGTTCTATAATGGATATAAAGTATCATTAACACTAAAACTACTAAAGGGGTCGAAATGACTGGTTTTCAGTTTCTTATTTTAAATTATAAATTTTACCGTGGTATTTTTGATTAAATGTATGTTGACTGTTATCGAAGTAAAGGATGAATGTAGATATATATTAAATTATGTTTCATTCTTTATTTATTTACTTTTTATTTTTTAATCGACATTATTTTCAATTTAAAAACAAGTGTGCATCAAATGTCAGTAGTTCTAGTGTTAATTTTGAATAAAATATTATTTCAAATTTACTTTGGCAAATACTCAAGTTGTTCTTCCATCATATTAACCTTTTTAATTCTTAAGTTATTAGCAACTCTTATCAATTTTTACAATCAATATAAGTACAATATAAAGGGAGGTTTGACGAGGTTTTTTAATATAAAATTGAATTGGGGATAAAGAAAGGGTTGTGATACGTATTTGTACTATCAGTTTTCATATATATTACATAAATGAGTCAACATTCTTTTCTGACTGTTGCGTTGCAACAAACATTTTCATATGTATCCATTGGTTTGTTCTACGTACGCTGCTGTTGAAGTTCCCAAGATAACCGTAACTGTCCTAACGATAATGTTTCCTACCCGAGACGATCATTGTGCCAAAACGCTCAAAGGCAAATTTTACGAATAGTATATCGTTATAAAATCATTTAATACGTTCACGCCAGCAGCGCGGCGCTGCTATTTGTGTTTCTCGCCGTGGGGCGGCGCTCGTATTTATGCTTTAATATACATTAAATTTTCAACTATATGGCAAGTTTTTCTTATTACTGAACGAATTACATTTTTGATGATACGCACCATGTGTGAGTACCAACATTCAAGTGTGAGGCACCGGTGGTGCACGCCGCTTGATGGGAGACTCGAGCGTGAGCCACCGGTGATACGCGCCGGTGTGATCGTGTTAAGCTAAATCGAGAAAAACTCAGAGTACCGTTTTATGACGGTTACTAAGGTTTAGACCGTTTATTACTTGTCAAGTACACGCCCTGTACTTGCCCGTTTTCTGACACTCACTTCGAATCCCTTATGGTCACCTTCTATCTGCAAAGTTACAACCAATCCGATCTCTTCTTTTCATTTTCATCCCTAAGCGAAAATTTGGCTAGTTTTGACGCGTTGGCGTAATTAAATCCATATTCGTACGCATTGAACACTGACAGAATAATTTAAAAGACTGCGTAGTACATGTTGATATCGCTTTATAAGTGGAAAAAAGAATATGTCTGAGAGATCAGTGCCGGTACACATGTATCGACCGGAAGCTTCAAAGGGTTTAATGTTAGATACAGTGTATTTACGTCATAACCGAAACCATAGTCTTGTTTAATGTTTGGCGAGATAGGTATGTTAGAAATTTGGAATTCGTGGAATCCAACTGAATGACCTATCAATGAATGGAATCTGACTATATGGAGGTTTATTATCAATTATTGGACCGATTGCAGTTGGCACTAATAAAGAAACGTCCGTATCTACAGGTATATATACTCGATAGGAAGTGTCTTTCCCTATTATACTCTTTCCCTAAGCCCTAAGCCAACCCTCGAGTGTATGCAGCAAATCAGACGTTAGATAAAGCAGACCAATGTGGAAGGGAAATGGCAAAGAATGATTCACCCTCTGTATTTTCTATACATCGTTTCATTGGACTATTACCTTTCAGAGGTTTACAAAACCATTTGGGTTTGAAAAATTTTGACTGAATTTTTCATGTTAAAAGCATAGGATTTTTTTCCAATAAATAATTGAAAAGTTGGTGCAGGATTAATCGTTGTAAGTAAGCCGTGTCGCTTTAACTCTTCTAGAAAGAAAGGAATACTAAATACATAGTACTTATAGTGTGATTTGATATATGTACATACAGCATGACTCATTTTAATCAATCCAGACAATTATTAACCCAGACAAATTATCAGAAATCGTATCAGACAAAAATTGTTGGGTTTGAAGGCGGATATTCGATGGTAACCTTGATTTGATCGCAGGTGACATTATTTAAGGTCATTTAAAGGTCACTTCTTGTTTTCCAAATGGAATGACTTATTTTTGAATGCGAAAATTGATAGAGTATGAAACATTACATTAAAAACATATGGTAATATGTAGGGTCAGATTGACCTTTACGGGATCATATGAAGGTCAACTTATTTTTGCATTTGAAATAATAGTATTTGTCTATTATTTGGTTACCTGCTTGGATTTTTTGCAAATTTCAATACACTCAACGGAGTTATTTAAAAAGATAGAATATCCTTAAAAAAGTGTTGCAAACAAATTGTAAGTACTTTTTATAATACATTGAAAATAAACGTAAACCTAATCTAAATCTGTAGATTTGTATCACAAGGCGGTTGTGATACTCTTTGCAATACTATTTTTTAATAATATTTTTCTTTTTTGGGGCGAAGCGAGCGAAACTCTATGAACGACTGATAGGGGTTTTTTTGTGACTTTTTAACTCAAAAACTAGATTATCAATTTTGACCATTCTCTGCAAGCCGATCACAGTGGACACTGTGAGTGTTTATAAAGAAAAAAATCAGAGATCGGTGGTGTCTTTGAGGAATAGTCAGGTAATTATTGAGAAAAGGTTACACCTCACCCATTTTAATGAAATTGAAATATGTTTTAAAACTCGACATTTTGAACAACTTTTTCCTATACATATAACCGCCGCTCGGCCATAGTTTTCGAGATATTTTCGAAAAACTGTTGAAATTAACACATTGAATTCTGGCCATCCGTGTGTGTCCATGACAACGTACGCATTAGTATGGGATCGCCGCTTTTCTACTGTTTTTGCAGGCAGCAGCACGGCGACCGACATCAATATATATATACATATATTACGGGTGGGCTTAAAAATTAAATTTAACTAATTTTCATGATTTTGAATCTCAGTATGTGTGTCTGGTCGCCGTCAGGCTACCAGAATATCACTTTACCCTAACCTAACTTAATTCACTGATTAGGTAGAGTAGATTAGGTTAGGTTAGGCTATATTAAATTCCCAGCTGCCATCATAGCTACGATACATTGAAATCATGAATGCAGAAGTACTCTGACGATGAGTTGCATTGAACTTGTCGCAGTGAAGTTGGCTACAAATTCACTAACACATTCACACCGCGTCGGTGAGTCGATCTCGCCCATCGTCTCACCGACGCAGCGTGAATGTGTTAGTGAATTTGTAGCCAAATTCACTGCGACAAGTTCAATGCAACTCAATGTACACAAGGTATATATTGCTCATCGGTCGCCGTACTGTTGCCTGCAGAAACAGTAGAAAAGCGGCGATCCCATACTAATGCGTACGTTGTCACGGGCGCACACGGATGGCCAGAATTCAATGTGTTAGGTTCGACAGTTTTTCGAAAATATCTCGAAAACTAAGGCCGAGCGGAGGTTATATGTATACGAAAAAGTTGTTCAAAATGTTGAGTTTTACAATATATTTAAATTTCATCAAAATCGGTGAGGTGTAACCTAATTTCAATAATTACCCATTGTGCCGTTGATAGAAACTCGATATCTCTATTCATTTTGAAGATAAAAAATGTTGAATTTTTAGGAATGCAAAATTTAATATTCGTATAACTTACGAACGGCGACAGATAATCGAATTCTGCAAGTTGTGCTGAATTGTGCTACTCACAATCGTTAAAAGTTTATATTAGCTTAAGTGTCAATAAAAATTAACGAAAAAGCTTGTGGGTGAATCAAAAACTTGAGATTTTCGAAATTTCTTTGATTGTGCCGGATTGTGCTAGACTAACACAACAATTTTTCCTAATGACAAAATGTCGTCAGATCGCCAGATTTCGCAGCACTGGCAAAGTTAGGAATCATATGTTAGGAATTTGCATGCGTTTAAAAGCTGGATAAGTCCAAGAGAGATTGGAACCCAAACATTGTATGCAGATATCCAGCCGAGGTGTCGATTCTGCATTCATACACATCGTTTGTACTCAACCGGGGAGTCGATTCTGTGTTGTTTATTCTATTCTTATTGTTTATTTATTGTATTATTATTCTATTATTATTGTTAGCTTGTAAATTACTTTAATTTTCAATGGGAAGAAACTGTCCGGTTTCATGGAAATTGTTCCGTTCGACGGAACATCTGCACGAGGACTTCGAAGGTTAGTTTATGACGGGTCCATTATGCGGCTGTTTGAGCTACGACATTTCAAGGTTTTTTCTTCCAATTTAGTTTCTCGATTTCTTCTTTGTACCACGATTTAATTTTCTTTTTGTCCTCCAGCCCTTTTCCTGTCATAAACTCGGTTATTCCGAAGGGCGAATACAGAATGGTCACTTCCGGACGTTCGGTATCTTCTGGTTGGCAAATGTTCGCCTGGAGGAAAAACCGCGGTGTGCTGGACTTTCAGGGTTCTCTCAGCGACATCGGTCTCGCCCCACCCTTTCTAGACGAAGATGCGCTAAGGGCGCTAGAGAGGGTGGGTCCAGACCTCAAGGGACACGCTGATTGGTATTTGACATTTTTCCGACGGAGTACCAGTCAGCGCACTCCTCCCGACTCCAACGTCATCGCAGGGGTCGAGTCGAGAGCGTCTCGACACTTGCGTTTCTATCACAAACGAAAGTTTGAAAACCCGCGTCGTGACCATCAACGAACTCAAAAGGAACGTTGAGGCCTACAACCCAACGGAGGAACAAATCCGC